TTTTAAGTTTACATGGGTTTTAATTTTTAAGGGCATTTGTGTCTATTTATGTAAGTTTTTGGCTATATTTGAAAGATTTTATAAAAACTGGCATTTTTGAAAGTAAGGGGTAAATTTTGGCTATTTTTGATAAAAATGCCTTTTTGAGTTAAAATCTCACCCTGAATAGGTTCGATGGTCTTAACGAACCTAGTTAAGCTTTTGACAATATCGGTGCAATCCTGGCCACAGTAGTGGCCCGTACAGGTCTTACACAAAATGCGTGTTTGCAAAAGCCAATAGGCACATTTGACTGATTGGGATTTGTACGAAAAGCAAGACTTTGCATAAGCTGCTTTCCATTCTTTATATCTATAGCCACGCACCGTCCCCAAACGAAGTTACAAAATCACCTAGTTTGAAATTTGAAGTAAAAAAATGGGAGCTAATGAAAGCAGGGAAGGCTCTTGGAGCATCAAGGAAGTGTCCAATGGTGTAATTGCAGCTGCCGCTGTGGCAGGAATGGCTCTGCTGGCCTATGTTTTATATGGACTTGTTTCAGCTTCAGGGCAGAGGAGGAAGACGATGAAAGCTCCGGGCAGAGGTGACCAAATCTTAAGGGGTGATTTTCAGGCTAACCCAAAAGCTTATTTCAGAGACCTCCGCCGCAAATAGAGAGCCAGTCCCAGTGGGATGGGAGGATATTGCAGCACTTGCAACTCAGAGTTACTGCCTTTATTATATGAATAAATAAACTCTTGTAATGAGGGTCGACTTTTCTCTCTGCCCTCTCTCTTGCGTTTTGGTTTGCACCCTCTCTGTTTGAGAGTCTCCTCACCCTCTGTTGGTGATTTTGCTTGGGCTTTATGCTCATATATGGTGGTTCTTATGCACCCTTTTTCATAGTCAGTGTTGTTTTCCTCTTTTTTCCCCATCTCCTCTTCCTTTCCTTGTCCCAAAACTCAGATCTTGGATCGCTCCCTACTCGGCTCAAACTCTCACAACCTCTTCCGCTCTACTGTGTCATCCTCTTCAGATCCATGGCTACATGTTGGCATCTGTTGGAGCGTGATTTTGGAATCTCCTTAAAGCGCTTTTGTCGCTTATCGGTCGCTGGAGGCTGTATACATCCTCCCAAGACATCTCTCCGAGTTCCTATGTTCTTTGTTCTTGGTGCTATCTTGATGGTGGAGTTGCTGGGTTACTTCGGTGCTGGTGCAGATTGGTGGTTCTCCCTCCATATGGTGGCGGCTAGGGTTTTTTTAGGTTTGTTTGTTATTTTGTTGGCCCTAGTTTGTTTGTTTTGTTGGGCTTTTGTTTGCTCTGGCGTGGGCTTTTGTTACTTTTTTCATTTTGTTGGATCTTGTTTATTGTGTGTGGTTGGGCTTTTGCCGTGGGATTGTGTTTCTGATCCTATGTCATTTGGTTATCTACCATAATTTTCTTATCTAATGAATTTCACTTTGACCATAACAAAAAAAAAGAAAAAAAAAAAGCTAGAAAGCTATTATAGCAAACCACTTAGTTTGGCATTGCTTATTTGGGGTAATAAGTGATTTTTTTTAAATTTTGAGAAGCCCAGCCTGTTTGGTAAACTATGAGAAAATCACTTATTGTTAAAAATTCCTGTGAGAGAAAGCTATAAGGGAAAGCAGCTAATGAGGTGCTTTCATTTTCTGATTATGCAGGAATCAGTTTCGAAGAGGCGCTAGGTTTAATGATTATACGGGAATTAGTACCAACAACACTCTTAACAAAAAGTTTACCAAACGCCAAACTGCTTTCTTTCATAGCTGATTTCTCTCACAGCAAGTCTGACAGCGATTATTTTCACAACACAGCAATGCCAAACTGGCCCTTAGTGCTAGTTTAGCATTGCTTATTTGGGGTGATAAGTGATTTTTAAAAAAAATTGGGAAGCCCAGCCCGTTTGGTAAACTATGAGAAAATCACTTAGTGTTAAAAATTGCTGTGAGAGAAAGCTATAAGGGAAAGCAGCTAATGAGGTGCTTTCATATTCTGATTATGCAGGAATCAATTTCGAAGAGGCCCTGGGTTTGATGATTATGTGGCAATCATTTTTTGATTATACGGGAATCAATACCAACAACACTTTTAACAAAAAGTTTACCAAACGCCAAACTGCTTTCTCTCACAGCAAATCTGACAGCAATATCCTCTATTTTGTCTAATCTGAATTTTTTTATATTGTTTTCTCTTTCTCTTGCAAATCAAATATATTAAAAATAAAAGTAGAAACTCAACCCCCACCAACCTCCCAAATGTCTCTATCTGTCTCCTCCTAGCCAAATTCTCTCTCCACCTTGCTAGATGTAAAGAGCCAAAAGTTGGTTCTCCAAAATAGAGTTGGAAGGAGGATTTTCCTTCTTTTTAGCCAAAGTAGTTAGGAATGAGAGGATAGAGAGTCTGCTGGAGATGCTCTTATATCCTAGGAGGTGAGAATGACTTGTGTGGTTCACCTCTTTCTTACATTAAAGTTTGAGAGTTCAAAATATCCCCTCTTTCTCTGATAAACATGACAAAGTGCAATCTATCCAAGCCAGTCAGATCACACATACTTAAATTTACAGAAGAAAGAAAAAGAACAAAAATCATAATCATACTTGTTTGATCACCCAATCTTTTTTTGGTGCATATCATAATACCTAGCTTCTCTAAATTAGGTATAAAATGGTTTTGCAGGAAAATAAAAATAAAAATTCATATTTCACATCAGATGTTTTATTTTTTTTAAGCAAGAAACATACATAAAACATAATACAAGGCATAAAACAGATGAAGAAAAGAAGAACACAACAAAGAAGAAGAACCACTAACCTGGCTTAGAGGGTATGGTCATATTACTAAGCACACCAAAGTTTCAGGCAAATTATTCTAATTCAAGAAAGCAACAATCTTTTTCTCCATGGCCACAGCATTGTCACAAGTTGGATCTTCCAAATGGAACGAATGCCCCTCCCCCGCTGCTTCTATGACCTCCACAGCCCCATTCCACCCACTCTTTTTCAGTGTCTCACTATAATGCCATCCTCTATCTTTCAACCCATCTTTCTCAGCAACACAAACCAGCACTTTCTCACAACCCAATTTCCCCAATTTCGGATCCTTACCTGGGTTTATAAGCGGGTCGTCGGATCCACTAGTCGAAGGGCAAGCAAAACGCCACACAGCAGCCATATACTCTCTTGTAGCTGCAGGAATAGTTAACTCTTCCCCAACTGGCTCTGTGCCCCAAAAGTACGGATGCACCAAAACAATCCCAATCAACTTAACACCAACCAATCCCTCACACCCCAATTTCACAGCCATGTTGTGCGTTATATTAGCCCCGGCACTGTTCCCAGCGAAAAACACTCGTTGGAAATCTGCAAATCTATTTATCCAATCTTCAGAGCCGTTTCCATCGGAATGGGAGGCAACCCATTTGAGAGCAGCCCATGAATCATCATAAGCAGCCGGCAGAGGGTGCTCTGGGACAAGCCTATAGTCAACAGAGACGGCAACAACATTGGCCTCAGAGACTAAGGCGTTGAGGTAGTTGTGATGTGTGCGAGAAGATGAACTTCGAACGCAGAAGCCGCCTCCATGAAAGTAAATGAGAAGAGCGAGTTTGGTTTGGGGTGCGCTTGTGGTGGATTTTGGGATGTAAAGCCTTGCAGATACGGCTAGTTCTTGTGAGATCACAACGTCTTTTGATTGAACGCCAGTTTTGGGATCTGTTGATGGAGGAACTATGTCTGTGCCTCTGAGTCTTTCAACTCGACCATCTTTGTATACTTTAATCAGTGGAGAGAAATCATAGGCTAATTCTTCGTTGCTCATGATTTGAGTTGAACAAGGAAGAGAAAAGAATAAGAACAAGCAACTATGAAGGCCTCTGTCTCTTCTCTGTTTTTCTTATGCAGATTGCAGAGTTCAGAGCAGGAGCAAAATTTACGGTTATGTTGGGGACTTGAAGGGCTTTAATGCACCACTTAAATTTGTTCTAACAAAACAAATTGTGTTGTAAAGAATGGGGTGGAAGGAAGGAAGAAAGAAGGAAGGAAGAACAGTGAAGACTTGTTGTCTGAAGAAGGAAGGAAGAAAGAACAGTGAAGGAGAGAAAAGAGAGATCAGTTAGCCACAAAGATTGTAAACACTAAAGATGTAGCCCTATTATTTTACATAGTAGAAAAGTTAGAGATTTTCTATTTAAACTTCACACTTCTCTTAGTTCACCCCATCTTTTAATTTAAATTTTCACAATTTCTAAGAAAACCCCACTATCTTCCCAAACTATCCTTAAATACATCCCAAACTGAAAAAATAAGAAATAAAAGAGATTTTCTATTTAAACCCCACAATTTTCTTTGTTCCCAGCAGAAAAAAAAAACAAACAAATGAAACCCCAAACCCGAAATTTAATACTTTCTAGAGTAAAAGAACAACTTTACCTCTCTCCAAGTAGAGGAGTTTGTAGAAGAGTTTGTCCTGATTTGATCCAATTTATACTTTACCTATGTCCTGATCCAATTTAAATAGGATGTAGATGAGATTGTATTTTTCTAAAACTTAATATGAAGAGTGGTGGGGTGTCTGTATAGATGTACTAGGGCTAATTATTAAGTTGGATGACCTTTTTTGTCTTTTTCCATAATAAAACTTACAGCTTAATGATTTAAGTATTGGGGTGAACAAAGAGTAGTACGAGTTTTAAATAGAAAATCTCAAAAGTTATTGTAGCTGCTCTCCGAAGACGTAGGCATGACTAAACCTCGTTAAATATTGTGTCTCATTTACTTTACATGCGGCTCAATATTTCCTCATATACCATTCATTTTACAATAAATTGGTTGTTGGACATTCTTGTCAAAAAGGACGGACAAGACAAGTAATTTCATATATATTGATTTAAATTTGAAGTAGAGTTATTAAACAAACAACTACCACATGGCCATACTAACGTAGTATTATATAATTTCTCCTATCGCAGGAGCTACCTTTGATAAATTTATGCGTAAAACTCATTTATATTAAGATCCCCATCTCCTATTTAAAAATAATTATTAAAAACAAAGTTAAGATCCCCATCAATTGAAAATTCTTCTTGATTAAAACAGTAATGGAGGGCAAAGGATCCATTTGAACAACCCTAAACCCACAAGAGGATAAACTATAAATAATCAACAGGTCACAACGTCCCCACTGTAGCTGAAGTTATCATTCCCACTGTAGGTCATGTGAAGAAATCCATCATCATCCTTATTTTCCTCATCAACTAAACCCATAGAGGCACCTGTAACATTCATTGAAAGACAAGGAGAGTTGGGAACGAAGATACTATATATATATATATATATATATATATGCCTATTTAAAAAAAAGAGTTGCATGCGCATCTCACCTGTGGGAGGTACAGTGTTTTTGAAGAAGACAAATATAGGTTTTTTTTTACTTAGAAAGATCCACATCCGAACATAAGCAATAAAATCTCCAAGAAGTGCATCCTTGGGGACAAGGTACCTGCCGTCAGATAAACAAAATCTTCAATTGAGATAACGTTAATAACCAACACAAATTGAACTTGTAGTTTGACTTTGTGGTAATAACGTAAGTACGTCTAAATGCACAAATTTAACACATGAATACATCGTATCTATAATCTATGTAAGCATAAATTACATGCACACTTTAAAATGCACAACAACAGAAACACAACAGCATATATACATCTTCTGTTTTTCCTGAACGATTTCTAAACATACATACATACATATATATATATATATATATATATATATATATATATATATATATATATATATATATATATATATATATATATATATATATATATATATATATATATATATATATATATATATATATATATATATATATATATATATATATATATATATATATATATATATATATATATATATATATATATATATATATATATATATATATATATATATATATATATATATATATATATATATATATATATATATATATATATATATATATATATATATATATATATATATATATATATATATATATATATATATATATATATATATATATATATATATATATATATATATATATATATATATATATATATATATATATATATATATATATATATATATATATATATATATATATATATATATATATATATATATATATATATATATATATATATATATATATATATATATATATATATATATATATATATATATATATATATATATATATATAT